GAGAATACTGTGAGTGGTGGCTTCTGGCTCTACGATGAGCTTCCCGTGGCTTCCGCTCTTACTGCGGGGAGTGGCTGGGAGCTGTGGCAAAATTGATTTAGTTGGGATTGGTCCTGCTTTGGGCAGAGAGCAAGACTCAATGACCTCTTGAGGCCTCTTCCAGGCTTGATTCTATGATCACTGCTGCTGCCAGGTACCACGGGGAACTCACCATAGCTCCTGGCAGCTGCAGGAAACTCGCCTTGGCTCCTGGCAGCTGCAGCAAACACACTGCAGCTGCTGGGATCGGGAGAGAACTCGCAGTGGCGCCTCACAGCTGCGGTGAGTTCCCCGCTTCCGGGCAGCCGCGGGGAACTCACGAATCAACAGGATCTCCTGTAGTGGCAGTTTACATTGCAATAGAATTTCTCCTCCTTCACAAAAAACATTCCTAGCACGGCACCAGTGAAATATGCAAGCGGCCATCTAGGAGATATGTCAGTGGAAGGGACAGTGGAAATCAACTGGATGGCTAAGAAATGTCACATTGAGGGCAATATTTCCACCAGCTCTAATTGTCCTGAGGAGCAAGGAAACAGCGAGAATTCAGAGGTCAACAGCAGCCCTGACAAAGAAGGGAAGTGGGAATGTGAACTCTGCTGTCTTGTCTACCCTACAGATTTCTCCTGCCGTAGGGTGCAAAAGTGTTTGGTCCCAGGCACACTTGGCTGAGCTGGCAAAAGCCTCTTGTGTAGACAGTGATAACAGCAAAACTGCTTTTCCCGATGCCAGTCTAGGGTGCAAAAGTGTTTGGTCCCTGGCTCACTTGGCTGAGCTGGCAAAAGCCTCTTGTGTAGACAGTGATAACAGCAAAACTGCTTTTCCCTCTGTAAGCTTCTTACCTCGTACAGCACCAGAATAGTGTTCACATTCAAAACGCACTAGTATGCTGGGATAGTTACGCTGACACGGTGCTCCTTGTGTGGACACGCTGTGGTTAAGCTATGGATAATGGAAGTAGCTATATTTTGATGAAATTGGTGAAAATGTAGCACCAAGTAACTCTCAGCATTTTCCTCGCAGATTGTTCCGGGTGCCGCTCAGAGCATTTCTGAGGTGAGTGTTCCACATCTGATTGGGAATAAAACTTGTCAAACCAACCCAATCGCTTTCCCTGGCAGAGAAACAAGCTTCTGGATGATTGTTTGTATTACTTTGTCACACAGTGAAAGCAGCAAAACTGCCATTTCCGCTATAGAATTTGTACATCTGAATGCGCTAGAAGAGTTTTCACATTCAAAAGCTCACTAGAAGGCTGCGATAGCTACACCTCCAAGCATGGACGTGGGGGGTTAAGCTATTGACTGTGGGAGGGTAGCTGCTGTTTTGATGACACCGGAGAAGATGGAGGAAAAAGTAACTCTCAGCTTTTCCCTTACAGATTGTGAATGCAGCTGGAAGAGTCCTTAAGGTGAGTGTTCCATGTTTAATGTTTGTCAGGCAGGTTTCTGTTCTTTCAGTGGCTCTTCGCATGCCTGAAGCCCGAGCCGGGGGTGAGGTGGAACAGCCTGGAGAGAGGTGCAGGGTCTGGGCAAACAACGAAGCAATGGGATTCTAAATCTGAATGGGTGTGTCAAAATCAATGCTGATGTTCTTTGCTGGGTCCATTCTTTCATTGTATTAATAGACAGTCTGGGGAGAATCATTGGGTCTGTTCCTTATACCAGATTAAAAACCACTCCCCTGGTGGTGTCATACCCATGGGAGCTGTGGTTCGTTGCCATGCTGTCACCTTTGAGATGGGGATAATAGTATCACCTGAGAGCATCATACATGTGGTTTCTACTGCAGGCTAGGGAAGCTCATGTGGGAGTTATAAATCATCCTCATACCACTGCAATCAATCGAGTAATGCTGGCTTACATCAGTGTAGCTCTTGGCCCATTTAAAAGGGGATTAACTAACATGGCCAATAATGAAGCATGCAAATCAGAATATAGGAGTTGTTCCCGTGGGAGGGAGGATGGAAATCAAATAGTTATCTGGGAGGTGTCTCATCCCCAGGAACTGCCTGTCTTGCCACTGCCGCTATGAGGAAACCATAGTGTCAATGAGACTAAAGAACCAACAACATTCAAGAACTGCTGCCTTTTTCTTTCTAGTGGCTTGGGGCGCATCATTTCAATGAGACTAAAGAATCAACAACATTCAATAACTCCTGCCTTTTTCTTTCTAGTGGCTTGGGGGCACACTGAGCTCTAATAGTGCCGCACGCCAAACACAGCTGGCTTTGAGGCTCTGAAGCAATTCTGGCAGTTTAAACAGTGGCTGATCACATAGCTCAGTACTTTGCTCATTAGCTTTCTAAATCCAGGGTTGTGAGCTCACTCCTTGAAGAGACCATTTAGGGATGTGTGGCAAATCTGTCAGGGATGGTACTTGGTCCTACCCTAAGGACAAGGGTCTGGACTTGATGACCTCTCAAGGTCCCTTCCAGCTCATATACCTATGAGACAGATATATGTTTAGTGAAGAAAGAGAGGCCCTGAGAGGGGGAATGACTTCTCTAATGTTGAAATCATCTGACTTCCCTCTCTAAAATAGAGTACTGACATTGTAAGAGAATCAGCTATGTTCTGAGGTTAAGATCAGATCAAATGACTCCTACATTTTTCCTTACAGGCTGTTGAGTACATAGGCAAAGACATTCTTGGTGTGAGCATTCATAGTTGCCTTCCAGTTTTTCTGGGATCTTACCACCATCTCCAAAATATGAGGAATATTTTTGTTTTTGAGCCTCCTGCTCCCTCGTGTCCCCCCCCCTCCACTCCCATCTGCCCACATTTTCACCTCCCCTTTTCAGAGGGAGAACAAAGGGGGAAATATTCAGTTTCTCATTAAAAAAATCGACTCAACTATTTTGAACAATCTAAGAAAAGGCCCTGGAAACATACATGAGAAAATTACAAACTATTTCTGATTTTGTCCAAAAAGAGGAAACGTTTGAAAAACAATCAAAATTTTTCACAAAATCTCATTTGGAAAAATTTCAACCAGCTCCAATTTCTATCCGGCAGAGTGAGGAAACTCCCAAACTCGGGAAATGAGTCCCAGCACTGAGAAAGGATGGTGAGAAAGTTGCTCATCATAGAGCTGTCTGAAAATGGTATGAGTCTGGGGATTGAAGAAGTCTGACATCTAACGGACTTGACTGTGCCAACAACAGTCCCTAGTATAGATACATGTATACTAACAACATCGTGCATTTGCAGTAGACAATTTTGCTTAGACAAAGTTAAAGTAAGGTACGCAGACAGGTGTGCACTAGTACGCTGGAGTAGCTAAACTGACAAGATGCTCTTAGTGTAGACGTGTTGTCATTAAGCTATGGACAAGGAGAGGGAATTATGGTGGTACTGGAGAAAGACCATGATCAAATAACTGCCCTCAATTTCCTTACAGACGTCTATGAAAATACCTGTAATCCTTTGTAAGGTGAGTATTATAGTTTGTATTGTTGTCAGACACTCTGACATTACCTGAACTGCCTTAGCAAACCTGGACCCTGAGCAAGGGGTCAGCTGACATAGCCTAGACATATGTGGAAGGACTGGGACAAAAGACAGAACAATGGGTTTCTAAATCCCAGAGTCATATCCAAGTAAATCCGGTCACTTTTTGCAGGTTCATTTCTCCTATTATACTTGTAGCTCGTTTCTTGAATTTCTGTGGGCATCTTCTTTATAAGCACCTTAACATCCACTTCCCAGTGGAGTCACACAAAGAGGAAAAAATAGAAAAAATATACATTTTTTTCAAAGGATTGTTTGGAAATACTCAAGAAACTCTTAATTTTTATTCAGAGCACTTAGGAAACCCTCAGACTCTGGCAGTTAATCTTAGTTTCAAGGGCAGGCCATTAAAGTGCTGTCTGGACTCATGTATACTAGAGACCTTCTTTGGCATAGTGCTGGGGTAGCTATGCTGACAAGGCTCCAAGTTTTGACTTGGTATGTGTAACCTATGGACAATGGGAGGGACGTAGCAATAGATAAACGATATTGTAGGATCAAGTAACTTTCAGCATTTTTTCTTACAGACTTTGGAGAACGTAGCTGGAAGATTTCCTGTGGTGAGTGTTCCACATCTGATGTGGCTGGCTTCTCTTCTCGCAGTGGTTCTTAACAAGCCCACATCCCAAGCCAGTTGGGAGAGATGTGCAGGATTGGGGTCAAAGCAGTGGGAACTGCAAACCACAGTCATTTCTCGTTTTGGCCAAAGAGGGGGAAAAAATTTCAAAATATTCATTTGGGAAAAAACTTCAACCGTCTCTAACTCTTATCCTGAGGAGGCAGGAAACTCCAAACTCTGGAAGCGTCTCAGCACTGAGGAAGAAGGACAGTGGGGTGTTGCCCATTGCTAAGGTTCTGGAGAAGGTGTGGGTCTGGGGACTGACCATGTTTGACGTCTAACTGACATAACTGTGCCAGCAAAAGTCCCTAACACTAATACACTTATAGCAACAACATCATGCATTTGCCATATAGACGATTTCACTCGGCCAAAGCTAGAAGAAAGGACACAGGTGGAGGTGCACTAGCACGCTGTAATAGCGATACAGTCAAGGTGCTCTTAGCTTAGGCATGGTGGGGTTAACCTATGGATAATGGAGGCATTTTGAGGGTATTGGAGAAAGACCAGAATCAAGTAATTACCCTCAATTCTCTTGCAGGTTCCTGCGATGCTGCCTAGAAAGCTTTGTAAGGTGAGTTTTATAATTTCCTTTGTTAGACAGTGTCACGTTACCCAGCCTGCCTTAGCAAGCCTGGACCCTGAGCAAGGGGTAAGCTGGAATAACCTGGATAGATGTGCAAGGATGGAGACAAAAGACAGAGCAATGGGTTTCTAAATCCCGAAGGGGTGAATCTGAGTTAATCCAGACACTTTTTGCAGTTTCATTTCTCCTATTATACTTGTAGCTGGTTTCTTGCATCTCTATGGACCTCTTCTTTATCACCCCCTTAAGAACCACTTCCCAGTTGAGTCACACATACTGTGAACTGTGATTCACTGGGAATCCTGTGGCTCTGCTCCATGAGGGCTTAGGATAATAGCATCACCATGGACAAGCACAAACACACGCTTAATTGTACAATAGAACACATGCCCAGTTTGTATACATTAGCCTCTGTTCACGGAAGTCAACAGGGTATGGCAGCTTACATCAGACTAGAACTTGGGCCACACACAAAATAATTTTCTAGCATGGCAGATAATGAAGTATGCAAGCGGAGATTTGCCAGATACTTCCATGGAAGGGTCAGTGTAAATTGACTGGATAGTGGGAAATTTCCCATTGCAGGAAAAATTGAAAAAAACCAAAACCCTTGTGATTAAATTTATGAGGTTTTTCAATATAAATATATTCTTTTGGAAAAACAAAAACAGCAACATTCTCCATCCCGTCCTGTCCCTCCCCCCCAAAATCAGATCCTAAATAATTTTCTTGAAAATGTTTGACTTTGGTTAAAAATCTGTTTTTCGACTTAAAATTCATGTTGATGAAAAAAATTGTACGCAGCTTCACTAAGACAAAAATATTTTTTGTTTAAAATGAAGATTTTAAGAGAAAATATTTTTCTGTATTTTTAACAAAAAGAATAAAACTCAAAAGAGGAAAAAGATTCAGCTTTTGAACTCGGCTCTTCTTCAAAACTACCCTTCCATTTCCCCTTTATCATTAGAAAAGCAAAAGAAGCATTTTCAATTTTTTTCTTTCAAAAAATTGTGAATAATTTGACACCTGTAATTTTCCCTCAAGCAAACATTAGTATTAACTTCTACAGAAAAATGAAATAAGGAATGTACGTAATGAGAAGAAGGGAGGTGGCAATATAAGTGAAAATCCTGCAAAACATTTTATTTCTACATTTTTTCCAGAAAGTGAAAAAACTTAAGCCCCCTCCCCCCACCAAGATTTCTCAAAAAAATAATTTGGAAATTTTCTAACCATCTCTAATTCTTCTCTTGTGGAATCAGACTCAGAAAGTAATCTCCCAAACTCTGGAGGTTAATCCAAGTGGTAATAAAGAAGAGCCGTGGCAAAGTTATCCAGCACAAAACTGTCCAAGCCAGTTCAACGCTACAGATTTCCCCTGGCATAGCGGTGTTAGTTGCGCATATAAAGATGATTGGACCTTGGCTGATATGACTGTGTTGGCAAAAACCCCAAGTGTAGAGACAAAGTTTTGGCAGCAAAATTGCACTACAAAGTGCACTAAAAGGCTGGGATAGCTACACTGCCAAGCATGGACGTGGAGTGGTTAAGCTATTGACTGTGGGAGGGTAGCTGCTGTTTTGATGACACTGGAGAAAATGCAGGAAAAAGTAACTCTCAGCTTTTCCCTTACAGATTGTGAATGCAGCTGGCAGACTGCTTGGGGTGAGTGTTCCATGTTTAATGTTTGTGGGGCATGTTTCTATTCTTGCAGCGGCTCTTACCATGCCTGAAGCCCGAGCCGGAGGTCAGTTGGAGTAGCCTAGAAAGATGTATGGGCAAAAGATGAAGCAATGGGATTCTAAATCCGAATGGGTGTGTCAAAATCAATGCTGATGTTCTTTGCTGGGTCCATTATTTTAACATATTAGTAGACATATTGGGGAGAATCTTCGGGCCTGTTCCTTTACCCAGGTTAAAAATCCATTCCCTAGTGGTGTCCTACCCATGGGAGCTGTGGTTCATTGCCATGCTGTCACCTTCGGAGTGGGGATAATTGCATCACCTTGGAGCATTGTACACGTGGTTTCTACTGCTTGAAGGGTATTTGCTTTTTAGGTAATTTGGCTTGGACAGAGCTAGAATACGGTACACATACAAGTGTGTACTAATATCCCAGAATAGATATAGTGACAAGATGCTCTTAGTGTAGACATGGTGTGGTTAAGCTATGAACAAGGGGAGGGAATTTTGGTGGTACTGGAGAAAGACCATGGTCAAGTAACTACCCTCAATTTCCTTGTAGACTTCTAGGAGACTACCTGTAATCCTTTGTAACATGAGCATTATAATTTGCTTTGTTGTCAGGCAGTCTTATGTTACCCAGCCTGCCTTAACAAGCCTGGACTCTGAGCCCAGAGTCAGTTAGAAGAGCCTGGAGAGATATAAAAGGATTGGGACAAAAGACAGAGCAAGGAGTTTCTAAATCCCAAAGGGGCGTATCCGTGTTAATCCAGACACTTCTTGCAGTTTCATTTCTCCTATTATACTTGTAGCTCATTTCTTGCATCTCTGTGGGCCACTTCTTTCTAAGCCCCTTAAGAACCACTCCCCAGTGGAGTCACACATACTGTGGATTGTGATTCATAAAAATCAGGATCAATCCCAACTGAATCATCCCACTAGGAATCCAGTGGCTCTGTTCCAAAGGGGCTCAAAATAATGGAATCACCTCAGATAATCACAAGCATAGGAGCAGATCAGTAGATCCACAGCCGCTCTATACTGAGGTCAACAGAGTACAGGCAACGCTCACCATTCACAGTGGATGAATTCCGGCCTGCCCCAGGAATGGCAAAATTTGAGAATGCTGCAAGCCATGGCTCCCAGCTCCCACAAGGAGCTCCCTGTGGCTCCCAAGCTGTGGGAAACTCGCTTTGGTTCCTGGCAGCTGCAGCAAACTCACTGCAACTGCTCGGATCAGGAGAAAACTCGCTGTGGCTCCTCACAGCTGAGGTGAGTTCTCCGCTTCCAGGAATCCGCAAGGAATTCATGAATCCCCAGGGGCTCCTGCAGTGACAGTTTACGCTACAATAGAATTTGTTCCACTTGACAAAAACATTCCTAGCACAGCACCAGTGAAGCATGCAAGCGGCCATCTAGGAGATATTTCAGAGGAAGGGACTGTGGAAATCAACTGGATGGCTAAGAAAGGTCGCATTCAGGGCAATATTTCCACCAGCTCTAATTGTCCTGAGGAGCAAGGAAATTGCCAGAAGAAGGAAGTCAAGTGCAGCTCTGACAAAGAAGGGAAGTGGGAATGCTGACTCTGCAGTTTTGTCTACCCTACAGATTTCTCCTCCTGTAGTGATGCTAGTCTTGGGTGCAAAGGTGTTTGGTCCCTGGCTCACATGGCTGACCTGGCAAAAGCCTCTCATGTAGACAGTGACAGCAGCAAAACTGCATTCACCTCTGTAAACTTTTTACCTCGTAGTGGACCAGAATAATGTTCATTCAAAGCGCACTAGTATACTGGGATAGCTACGCTGACAAAGTGCTCCTCATGTGGACAGGGGCAGATGACGATTTTGCAGGACCCAGGGCAGCATAATTTCACGGGGCCTCCCTTTGCCACGGCGCATGTGCGGGGCTTTTTGAAGTGCGGGGCCCGGAGCGGCCGTCTCGCTTGCCCTGCCCTATATCCGCCCCTGCGTGTGGACACAGTGTGGTTAAGCTATGGACAATGGGAGGGAGGTAGCTATGTTTTGATGATCCTGGTGAAAGTGTAGCATCAAGTAACTCTCAGCATTTTCCTTGCAGAATCTTCCTGACGTAGCTCAGAGCCGGCCTGGGGTGAGTGTTCCACATCTGATTGGGAATAAAACTTGTCAAGCGAACCCGATCGCTTTCCCTGGCAGAGAAACAAGCTTCTGGATGAGGGCTTGTATAACATTGTCACACAATGACAGCACCAAAACTGCCATTTCCGCTGTAGAATTTGTACATCTGAATGCGCTAGAAGAGTTTGCACATTCAAAAGCTCACTAGAAGGCTGCGATAGCTACACTGCCAGGCATGGACGTGGAGGGGTTAAGCTATTGAGGGTAGCTGCTGTTTTGATGACACCGGAGAAGATGCAGGAAAAAGTAACTCTCAGCTTTTCCCTTACAGATTGTGAATGCAGCTGTCAGAATCCTCAGGGTGAGTGTTCCATGTTTAATGTTTGTCAGGCAGGTTTCTGTTCTTGCAGTGGCTCTTCGCATGCCTGAAGCCCGAGCTGGGGGTGAGGTGGAAGAGAATGAAGAGATGTGCAACGTCTGGGCAAACAATGAAGCAATCGGATTCTAAATCTGAATGGGTGTGTTAGAATCAATGCTGATGTTCTTTGCTGGGTCCATTCTTCCAATGTATTAGTAGACAGTCTGGGAAGATTCATCGGGTCTGTTCCTTCTACTTAGGTTAAAAATCCACTTTCTGGTGGTGTCCTACCCATGGGAGCTGCAGTTTGTTGCCATGCTGTCACCCTTGGGGTGGGGATAATAGCATCACCCTGGAGTATCATACACGTGGTTTCTACTGCTTGAGGGGTATTTGCTTTTTAGGCAATTTGGCTTGGACAGAATACTGTACACACAAGTGCCTGAATAGCTATACTGACAAGATGCTCTTAGTGTAGACATGGTGTGATTAGGCTATGGTCAAAGAGAGTGAATATTGGTGGTACTGGAGAAAGACGAGGCTCAAGTAACTATCCTCATTTTGCTTGCAGATTTCTAAGGGACAACCTATTATCCTTTGTATGGTGAGTATTTTAATTTGCATTGTTGTCAGACACCTGTGTCAAGCAAGCCTGGAATAGAAAGTTGGAATAGCCTGGAGAGATATACAAGGATTGGGACAAAAGACAGAGCAAGGAATTTCTATTTCCCAAAGGGGCGTATCCGAGTTAATCCAGATACTTCTTGCAGTTTCATTTCTCCTATTATACTTGAAGCTGGTTTATTGCATCTCTGTGGGCCTCTTCTTCATAACCCCCTTAAGAACCACTTCCCAGTGGAGTCACACATACTGTGAATTGTCATACATAAAAATCAGGACCAATCCCAACTGTATCATCCCACAAGGAATCCTGTGACTACTCCATAGGGATTTAAGGTAATAGTATCACAATAGACAATCACAAGCACAGGAGTAGATCAGCAGATCCACAACCTTTCTATACTGATGTCAACAGAGTACAGGAAATGCTCACCATTCGCAGTGCATGTATCCCGGCCTCCATCGGGAACGGCGAAAATTTGAGAACACTGAGTGGTGGGGCTCCCAACTCCCACGATGAGCTCCCTGTGGCTGCAGATCTCACTGCAGAGAGGCCTGGAGCTGTAG